TGCCTCTTCGCACAAACCATGGAGCAGAATCTCTTGGAGCCTTTGAATGTGAAGGCAAAGTCGACCCATCCACAGTATTCACACGTCAGCTTGGGTTCCTGCTCTTTTTCTGGAGCATTAGAAAAAAACACTCAATATTAGGTTTTTTAGACATTTTCTCCTGGAGAAGTGCGTTACACACAGGGCGTGTTGTTTCAGGTACCAGTGAGACATGAAATAGGATCTAGGGAGTCTGGTTTGAGTGACAGATTGATGTGTTTAAACACCGAGCGTGATGCCCACAAACAAGATTTTGCAACTCTGCAGTTATCACAGCGGCAACGATCGTGAGGTGAACGGTAGAAATACACCGTTAAAAAGTAATTACCAGGAATGTGCACTTGCACGTCTGTGATTGGATTGTGATCTGATAGATAGAGAATTTTTTTCAGTTTTTGGATACTTGGATCAACTCGGCTTTCGTCAAGCATTTAAGGAAACAGCTGATAAGTAACTGACGTACAAATGGACATCAGCTGAATGTCAATGATAAAAAGTCGTTTTCTGTCCCCCTTTGTTTATTGTTACTTTAATTTGAAGGCAGACATAGCCCTACTGTTTAACCCAACACCTTAATGATGACTTTTGCAGTTTTGTCGCTTGACAAAGGAGAGTTTTCCCAAAACTGATTTGAACAGGCTTTGGAAAAAGGTTGCATCGGTGCATCACGCGTTTCATACACAACCTGTTGTACTTTAGCAGACGACAGTATGTAATACTTTTTGTCTCACCTGTCTGGTTCATGTCCTCGGGGTCGGAGTCGCTGTTTGCTGCGTTGCTGACGGGGGTTTTGTCGGGGTCCGAGGAGAGCTGGTGATCCAGCTTCTTCGGGCTGTCGATAAGAATCGGCAGACGCTCCACCTGGTGACGGGAAGAAAACATTCACAAATCTACCGATGAAACAACGGCAACACGCTCCAGCAGTAACAATAGTGTGACTGACAGAGTCATTTGAACGACTGCAATATCGTAACTGTGACAAAACTTCACAACAGCTATCTTAAGTGCAAAGACTTCCACCTGTCCATCCCGACGACGAGACCAACCAATGACATATGGCGACCAAATAATAATCAATCTCCTCCATACACTATTGAACGCAGAGCAGACTCTTCCTCATTTTAAAAACAGAACAATAGAAATCAAATAGCCATTTCTGGGCCCCCTTTTATAATTCATTTACAACTGGAGACATTGTTGGCAAAGAAAGAAGTTTGCTTTCAATAGAGCTGAAACAATTGGTTAAGCAGCAGGAAATTAATCTGCAACCATTGTGATAATCGAGCCATTAAATCAAGCACAAATGGGGGAAAATAATGAATGAATGCGCTCTGCTTTTCTATGTTTAATATCATTTAAAATGAAATGTCTGAAGGGGCTTCGTTCTGTTAGTCAGACAGAATGGGTAGCCTGAAGACGTTCCCGTGCCATTCTTCAAATAAACACAGTCACAGAATATATAAACACCAACAATCAATAAAACGGTCACCAAACACAGTTCAAAGTACCATATCAATATCTTTGTAATGTAGATACTACACAACAGTATGCATTGTTTGTGCTTGTTCGTGCCTTTATCCAGTGCATTCAAATACTGTATACTGAGCAGTTACAACACATGTCCAGTAGGGGGCAGTGAGCCCTAAGGCGAGAAATAAACATGTCAGCATGTTGCACCTGAACAAAAGGCTGTTCAGTCTAACGTTTACCTTTTTGTGTGTGATTATAATACAGATTGGATGATACACATGTCAACAACTGTGTACAAACACCAGATAAACAATGTAGTAACATCAATTTGAAGGGAGATGACAGATTAAAGGAGGGAGTTTTTTTATGCCTTGAGATAATTGAGAGGCTGCAGCTCATTACACACACACTCACACACACATCCATCAGCTCTAAAATGAATGACTGAGTCCCACAGAAGCTGTGTGCTGTCGGCAGTAATAGTAGTAACAGAGGGATCTGTGTTTGCCTGCGCTGACGGCTCCCTGCAGGCGAGTACACCAGAGAGAGAGAGTTGGCTCTGGGTTGTTTATCATGCTGAGATGCGGCCACTCACACACACTGGGAACGGCTCGGCCCCCTCCTGGATGACGAAGCCCTCGATGACGTGTGTGAGGACCTGGGGCTTGACGATGGCCTGCGGCAGTTTGTTCTCCCCGTTCTGCGGCGCACTGCCCGTCACCGTGGGCGCCTCGCTCTCGTTCCCCGAGGTCATGGCCGGAGGCGGGGTCCCAGGTGCAGCGCTCGGCCTCTTGGTCGAGCCCCCGCCTGCTGACCAGAGAAATGAATACGACACAATCACCATCAACGTAGAGAGCATGCACTCTGTGAGCGCTGCTCACTGGTGGATTGAGTCTGAAGGAAAATGGTTGATTAATCCATAGTCGTTTTTTCAAGCAATTGATTAATGAGATCTTAAAGTGAATATTTTGGGGGTCTTGGACAGTTGGTCACACAAAACAAGCTTTCTGAAAATGTCAAGTTGTGCTTTGGATAATTACACCGTCTTGTGACATTTTATAGGCAATTAATCTGGAAACTAATCAGCAGCCTGAGATGAATTGTCAGATTCAATCTTTGAAGGGAAAGAAAACTATTTCTGAGTCCAGCTTCTCACGTGTTGCTGCTTGTCCTTGTCATATATGATGGTATGATGGCTGAATATTTTTGAGTTTTGGACTCGAAGAATCTGTAATGAGAATTAATTTTCAGTACTTTGACATGTGATAGGTCAACATAAGTAATCTTGAAACAAATTAGAAGATTAATCAACAATAAAGAATCATTCCTTGCAGTCCTAAAAGAACGATGCAGTATTTAAGAGGGTAAATCCACCTTAACTCGGCACATCCACATTATTTTTAGTACATCATCAAACTGTTGATGTCTTTAAACTTCGGAGGAATAAGAGATGGCTAAAACTTTAAATGATTCGTTTGGTTATTTTCATCGAGCTATGCAGTACCTGTCTTTATATAATCAGCCTTTATGAAGTCCTATTATTCTAACAAGACACAGCTATCACATTACAGAGACATGTGGAACAGCATCCGGTCATGTCCACCTGCCTCCTTACCGGTCTAATAACAGCTGAGCATTAGAAGTGACCTGCTGCCGCACAGTCGATCAATAACAAACAGTGAATCCACAGCGCGTCACGGATCACTCCCACCATCACAACACCCACGTCAAAACCCCACAGAGCGAAAGTAAACACGAAGCCGCGACGCTTCATGTGTAAAGTCACCGGCGTTGAGTTGGATCTCTTACCGACTCCCGCTGAGTTCACAGAGAAAACATGTGCGGTTTGCTCCTCGTGTTTGTTGTGATGATCCGCGACACACGCACACACCGACTTGCTGCAGCTGCTGTCTGAGGCTGAGTTCGCGTTGAAGTCGCAGCGCCGCTAAAGATAAGCTTTGAAACCAGGGTCCGCCTCCCTGCTTCCTCCCACAGCAGCTAGCGTTAGCATGCTAGCGTTAGCATCCTGCATCTGCTATGACACTACATGGTTCGACTGTGTCTCCAGATTCAGTCTTTTAATGTAGTCCCATCGACTCACTCTACCAGTACAACCAATTCAACTAGACCCCATTAAAACCACACAAATTCACGTTTTCAGCAGATGCATAGAGAGAAACTTTAGGGTCCAAGTCACCCTCTGAGAAAAGACACCTAAAGGCTCTTCTTCTTTTTGAATATAAGTTTATTTTCCACACTGCTTGGAACATTCTGGTGGAGTGTGCAGCAGTAGTGGAAAGTAACCAAAGTACTGTACTAAAGAACAGGTTTGAGCAGTGGCGGGCCGTCAGGGCCTGCAAGGCCTTCTCTGCTGGCCTAAACAGAATCACAAAGCTATATCTATTTGATAATTTTTCTTAAATACACTACATGTATTATAATTTATAAAAAAATTTTTTCCATCATCTTATTTTCTTGTTGCACAGCTACTGTCTTCCTCAGTTGCTCTGCTTCCAGTGCAGCTTGTTTTAAGTAGAGCTTTTATCCAATCAGATTTCACCTCTGTGTCTCTAGATAAGAAGAGAGACCCGAGGCCTGCAGACTCACAAGTGCATCCCTTTGCAGTTTAAGTGAATGGGGATGATATTGTTGATTGTCATAGTGTTCAACCAATCAGATCTTTAGTTTGACATGTTGGGCGTATTCTTTAACGTGTCAGAGCCTGCTAGCTGGCCTATAGCTACGTCAGCATTACGTGCAGCTCAGTGTCCATGTGCAGCTTCTCAGTGAGGTACAGAGTGTGCTGTGATTGGTCAGTGGGCGAGCACGTGACTATCGTGAAACGAAACATAACAGCAGAGGCTTAGTCGGCGTTGTGAATCACATCACATGATGCAGCTCAGCCAATCAAATATGGGCATTCTGACAAGTTTCCTGACTAGCGAGGTTTACACACGTGACAGAGACGAGGAAATAGAAAGAAGAGCAGGGAAATTGCGCTAATCGAAGAAGTTATCTCACATGACTCTCCAAAAAGAGAAACGTGTTCAGAGAGAATATAATTTATAAGCAAGAATGAACAGAATCTTATATGTTAATTATTCCCACAGGCAGTTAAATCCTCTACCCCTGTCAAGCGCTTTTCCCTGCAGGTGGCTAATCATGATTTTCAGACCCACGCCCTCTGTAAACTATCAATGGATAAATCCAAAAAAAGAAAAGTCACGGAGGAAAATAGAGAGTTTAACTCTATGTGGACGTCTTCCTTTGCTTTCACTGCCAACGATGCTGACTTACCTCTATGCTTCCAGAACATACACACAGCATTTGCTGAAAAGTGTCACGCTGGAGATGAGCGACAAAGAGCGATTCCTCAACTGCTGCAGCAAACTCTCCTCTTCATAAGAGTTTGATATTGTTATATCAGGTAAATTGCAAAAAAATGTCAAGAATTGTCTTTATTCTTGTTCTATATTTTCATAAATACAACAAACTATAGTTTTTGTACCTATAATATAACTATATATACAACTTTATAAGCTGTGATATCAAATAGCTTTTGCAGCTCCAGACAAATTTTATTTGGTGGAAAATAGGGCAAAATGGCTCTTTGGATAGTAAAGGTTGCCGACCCCTGTGCTAGGTATAAAATGCACGGCCCGCCACTGGTTTTGAGGTACATTTATTACACAAAATCTATTTGATGAGTTTAGTTACTTTGCAGATTCAGATTAATAATAAATAACAAATGAACAATTATGTAATATTATAGATTAAGATATAATTGTATTGACCCCCAGGGGAAATTGACAAGATACCCAGCAGATAGGTAGTTAAGTAGATGGAATTAGTTCTACCTTTACCAGTTTACATATTATTGCATCAATAATTCAATCCAATAATATAATGCATATTATACTGAAATGTGCCATTCTGCATCATATGAAATAGAATCCAGAAAGTCCAGTTTGCTAACAGATCGGTGAGTTTGAAGCCACTGGGACAAATTAACTGATTGGTGCTGGTACCTAAAAACATCCCCCCCCCCCATTGACCACCACTATAAAAGAGACATCTGTGAAACCTTTTGACAGGACACCTTCAACTACAAACAACATCCATCATTACTCTTTGTAAGATGAATTTAACATTTGCAAAACTTTCCTAAGAAAGCAATAGTGAGGTGCATAATGTGATCCCAATGTTGGGTCCTCCAAATTCACAGAAAAGTAATGCCCGCTACTCTGAATGTACACAATTTAAATACTTGAAAGAGAAGAGACGGTGTGTCTGAATATCTTTTTTAAAGGCTGAGGTGTCATACATCTTTGGAGCTGGAAAGCCTGAATGCTCAATAAGCCAATTTCACTGAAAAGCAGTTTTTGTTAAATTTTCCTAAAGTTAAAAAAAGAAAAGGTTTGGGCCCGTCAACATCAGCCCCTGCAGCCAGTGGATTACAAAAATAGTTTCCTGCTCTGGTGATGAGCATCACACCCAACACGCTGCCCATAAAACAGCAATTCATGGTCCACACAATGTTTCATTTTACAAGAAACACAGCATCAGCCCCATTACCAACCATTTAGGAGAATTATCACAATAGAAACTGATCTGTGTCCACATTTAGAAAACATACACCCAAATAATGAAATGCTCAGCAAGAAGAGTCTAGCTGCTGCAGGGCGATGCATGATGAGTCACTTATTAGAGCCTGCTTAATCACTTTTATCCAAATCACCTGGCTGACTAAATGTGCACACTAAGTAGAAAATACATCCGGCTGACGATGCAACATTTCTGTTTTTCTCATTACATAAAAGCTTTTTGACTGGATTATGCTTTGAAAATCACTTCAGAGTCAACCAACATTATAAAACAGCTTGTCCAAAAGTTCTGCCCCCCTCATGGTATGTAAATGAGACTGAACAAAACATGACCATGGCGCCCCCCACTGCATTGTGGGTGTTGGCCTCAACCCCGTTACTACCACACAAACACAGTGAACCAGTGTGCGCCAAACGGTCTCCAATATAATTTACAGGCAACAAAATAATGAAAACAATAAAGTTGCATTATGAGACGGGTTGTATTACTGTTAATGTTGTGGGTTTAAATGTTCAGCACACAACAGAGCGCAGAGGGAATTGTGGGTATCAGATGAGCTTTTTGGCCTTAGCTCAGGGAGAAAAATCACAGAGAAAAGGACAAACAGAGCAATAAGAGACAAAGTGTAGAGAAACTAAATGTGCCGCAGACACAACACGCTCTGAATTACAAGTAAACATTGATTTTTCTTTCCCTCCACTGACGGTTTCTAAGAGTTGGCCAACTGGAGGAGAGCAGAGCACAAATAAAGAAGACACATTTCACTTTGTTTAACTGCTGCTTCTAGTCCCAGGGGCTCATTGGTTTAAACATTTGAGAACTCTTAATTCAGCAGCTTAGGAAATCATGCTGAGTCATTACCTTGCGGCTGAACAGCTGGTGGGGCTGCAGTGACCTTGGGCTGCTCTACAGGTTTGATGGGTTGCGATGGCGAAGGCGCAGGTTGTTGCTGCTGTGGCTGCTGTTGCTGCTGCTGCTGCTGCTGTGGCTGCTGTGAGGCGGTGAGGGGGGGCGGACACGTCTCTCTGACCACCAGCGAGGTCGGCTTGTCTTTACTGTCCTGAACCAGTCGGGAGGCCTACGATGTGAGAAAAGGGAAAACATGAGAAATGTGAGACAGATCAGGGGCTGTCAGTACTTTTAATGTCAGTGACTCAAACACTAAGAGACCATTAGGCTTGGAAAATATCACACCAGTGGGAAAATGTTACACCGCCAACCCCAAACTCAGAAGATTCCTGTGTTTTTTCTACATGCATGTCTTGGAGGGGAAATTGATTCGGTGGGTGTTGTTGGAACAGTAGTTTGTATTTTGCTGGTTACCACCCAAAAAAAAAACAAGAAGAATGTGAGCAGTTAAGATGTTAAGTAGGACAGAAAGTCATGTCCCATTGGAAACAAATGGTGGACAAAAACAATGAATCACATGAAATATGCAATACTGGAAACACACAATGGATTTTCTGTGACTGGGAGAAAGAGATGCCCTCCTATCCTCTCAATATATGAGAAATATTACTCTGTAGAATCAAAAATCCACTGTTTGCCCACATTTTAATTCATCTTCCCAAGTATTTTCAAATGAAATCAATCACTTTCAACAAGACTACGAGTTTACAGCCAAGCTAGCAGCCCTTTGTGGCTGAGGAAAAGTCAGGGGATCACCAAAGTGATAATGAATCCTGAGGGCGGGGGGCATAAATGCGTTAGGAAAATTTTATAATTGTCCATCCAACAGCTGTTGAGACGTTTTACTCAGAACCACAAATGTCAACGTCATGGTGGTGCTCTAAGAAAAGTCAGGGGATTACCAAAGTAGGTAGGGTGCATCATCTGGGAACCATGAATGTCTGCAGAAAATATCACGGCTAATCCATCTGATAGTTGTTGAGATATTTCGGTCTGGGCCAAAGTTGACCAACCGACTGACAAACAGACCATTGCCCATCCCTATAACCACGCTGCTAGCATGGCTAAAAACAAAATGATTTAGATCCCAATTAACAGAGCTCTCTGTTGAAACTGGAAGAACGATGCTGCAACATTATTTTCTAGCGCCAACATTATGCTTCAGAAACACTGCAATAACAAAATATTTTCATGCCTTTCAGCATGAAATAAATCTAAACACAGACGTTGATTTGACAGAGCAAAAAGAGCAAGTCCCTGTCCGGCTTGTACACCAACATCCATCTATGGCTTTAACCTTATCAGTGATGCTGGCAACAGTTATTAAGCTATCCAAATGCTCTTGAGTTTGAGAGCCTGGTGTGCGTATGTGAACTCACCGTCGGCTGTATTTGGAGGTTGATGGCGGTGAGCTGGACGGGCTGAGCTTTGGCGTGGTTGAGGGAGGAGTGGAGGGCGTGGGGGCCGATGGTGGAGTGGAAGATGGTGGCCTGCTGACCGGGCATGGAGGGCTGGTGTGGAGCAGGTTTGGGCAGAACGGGGACGGGGTGCTGCGACGGTTGGATGGAGGCGGTCTGCAGCAGCTGGCCCGCGGCCCTCTGGGAAGCTTGACTCTGATGGACCACAAACTGCTGCTGCATCTGCTTGTGCTGCTGAACCAGCGAATGGGGCTGGATCTGTGTGTACGCTGGAATGACAACATTTACGTCACATTTGAGTCTCTACTCCTTTTTTGTTTGACAGACCCAAAAATGTATTGAAAAAATATTTTTCAGATTAATAGACGTGTGATTACACAACACACATTGCGTGCCACAGTCTCATCAAACACCATCGTCCTCCCTAAAGGTAACTCAGAAATATCTCAAGTAGTTGCGTAGCTCTCCCTCCACCTGTGTGCCCCTTTGTTGACAAGATGGGATAGTAAGAGCTCGTTGAAAGGTGCACAGAGAGGCCCTGGCCATTATTCACAAATCGTTTAAAAACGACCACCCGTCAGTGAAAAGACATCCTGAACTCATAACTTGCCCCGAAGCAGCGAGACGCAGAGCATCAATCTGCGAGAGCACGTCTGAGTGGGAGATGGGTTCCGCAGAAAGCAGCCCGAGGCTAGCTCAATGTAAGAACGAACACGCAGAGCCAACTGACCGCAACACTCTTCATGGAGTTAATGTTGAGTCAGCAGGTCCGGGGGCCCCTCTGCTGTCTCCTTCATCTTTAGCAAATCTACCAGGAAATACTGAGAACTAATGGACTCATTCTTACTGCTGGAAGCCAAACAAGAAGGCTTCCTGCACCGCAGCACAGCCTCTGCTATATGAGGCACGTGAAGACGGAGGTGGTGTTAATAATGCCCCTAATAAATCCGAGCGTGGAAAACTGCCAAGTACGTCAGCGTTTGTCTCAGATCATCCCCCCCTCTGTTCTTCTCATGATGCTCTGTGTGGGACGGAGTCCATCTGGTTTCAAAGTTTCCCTCAACCGCAGTCTGAGCCCCGCTGTGGAATACATGGATGTTTCTATCCAGCGTGTCATTAGTCCTTTTGATGCTGCAGGATCTGCTGAGGAGTGTTTTCTTTCTCACATGTCGAGAATAAAACCTGGTTATCTACGGCGTACATGCATATTTACAATATTCAGAGTAGGATACATGTGAGCCTGGGACGGGTAGAGACGTCCTGCAGCAGGATAATCACAGATGTTAGCCTATAGGAGGGTTCAGGCTGAGACGCTTCAGGTGATAACAACATCCATCAGTTTAGCTGCTCAGCCTAAAGGCCTACACGCACACGCACACACACACACGGCATATTTTTTCCCCTGCAATTAATTTGCATGTCAATATCTATTTTAAACTGTTGTTTCACCTAACCCTAATCTCACATAGAATGTAAATATTACGTGGCACCATGTTAGGAGCCTCGCCCGGCGTCTTCTTACGCTTTGCCAACCGTATACTGACGCTCAAAGCTCGACTTTAGTTTCAACAAATTTACATTAATATACAAACTCAGGCAAAAGCTAGACCAAAATATGTCAAGGATGAGGGCAGTTATTCAGTTCCTTTCCTTCTCATGACCTGCGTACTTAACGTCTGGAAACCAATTAATAAGACAACAACAACCATGAGAAAGTGGCACAGCTCAAGGACAACAGGGCATGTGAAGGAACTCATAACTGAAAACTCACATCAGAACCAAGACACAACATACCCAGACTGCACTGCAGCCAAACCTTCACTCAACCAGTTCATTACCGGTAATGAAAGTACTCACATGACCTTTTTCATGGTTAATACTGATGTTTATGTAGTTTTCGGAATTTAATAGTAGCACCGTGAAAAAATGTCCCTGAAATCATAAAGTAGCGAGAGATTTCTCAGCCCCAGACAGAGGAGGGGGATTTCTGAATCGGATAAACCGGATACAACCAGTGAAACCTGGTGACTTTCTCAAGCCCCTAACGAGGAGCAGAGGGCCGTCCTGGAAGGAGACGAGGACAGGGGGATTCACATTTAGATGCTTTCCCCCCTCAAGGTCTTGGGATTAAGGGCTGGAATGACTCAGCCGCCCACATACATATAATCATGCAATATCCAGTATGTGGCAGTGGCCTCCACGCCCCCTGAGTACTCCCTCTGCGTGTTGTTGCACAACGTCCCGCCGCTGAGGACGGTCTACGTTCCCGATGGGTTTGTAGCACCCGGTCCTGGAAAATCCCTGAGATTCCACATCGTCACTGTTCTGCTGCTTTGGCTCACGTTCATGAATCAACATCTTTCCTCCCTTTAGTACGATTCACCATCAGGTTTCTATTTGATCACACACTATTTTTATGAAGTGAGATGCTGAATGTTAATTTTAATAGACAAGACAATAGATAGGAAGGTGAATTATTAGTAGACATTAAGTTTTGCATAGTTAAAGTTTAACTGTGGGTTTTCTTTTTTTGTCATCATTTTCAAGTGAAACTGGCAACTGATAAAAGCTCCATAAATATCCATAAATACTTTGCTTAGTGTGCAGATCTGGTCTTTAATGTGTGAGCATGGTGCTTTTGGGGGTTCCCTGCTGTGTTTTTCTTTTTTGTCTACAGTAAGGTGATGACAAACGCTGACTGCAACGAGCCAGAAGTAACATTTTGTTTCCAATCCAATTCCTATTCAAGGCACTGACTCTGAATGTCAGTAGTAGCAGAGACGTAGCTCTAAAATTATCTGCCATCTTTTGGAAGGCGAGATGAAAACTGATGACCAAAAATAGCACCAAAAAACACAATAAATCACAGTTCTTCCATGTCTGTTCTCTCAGATCAGGCCAGGCTGGTTTCTGTTGAGTCATGTTCAGCGCTTATAACGTAAAGACGTGTTTGATTTACGATACACCTTCAGTAATCACATTATGGTTATTGATAAGGTTCCAGACCTGATAAAAAAATAATTATTGAGCCCTTTTTAAACTCTTTATTGGCATCTTATCTGTCAAACGCGTTTCCCGGGTTTTTCATGTCAGAGCTCAGATTCTGAGCAAAATGCTAAAAAGAAACGAGAGGTAAGGTACTAAATATGACTCCGAAAAATAGATTTATAGAAGATCTCGTCATTATTTAGACGACAGTATTAATGCTAGTACTTTTGAATGAAACAATTACGCGTAATTCTCTACATTTTAACAATAAAAATACTGACTAATTATACACAAAGCCTCATTATATTTACTCATTAAAGCTAAATGACTAAACATCAGTCATGAAAGTAATCGGTGACACGTCGGCACTAAAAACCTTCCCCTGACCGAACGTTGTAATTCAAACTGCATAACGACCCAGTCACGTTGAATCCAAGCTTTTATCCTAATCCGAGTCCCATCAGACCTCCTCTCCGCTGGTCCACGGTGTATTAACTCTCCAGCATCTCATGTGCACACCTGTCCCTCACCGCCCGCTGCCATGGCAACCCATGGTAATTTTCCCAGACAGCGTGCAGCCAGATTTTCAGCTTCCATCCTCCCTTTCATTTTATGTGAATCCATTACTGCAACAAAGCAAGACACAGTGGTGCACTGACACGCTCAGATAATCCCA